ATTTGCCTAGAGATTACGTGACGAGATGAATCGTCAAAAAACCAAGTGAAAGTGATCACGACTTGGGGACATGTTGAGTGTTTGTAGAGTTCCCATAAACATTGGATACTCCATAAGCATCCAGTTTTAATCACGTGGGGTGGCAGTGATAGATGTCCCCAGTTGTTGCAGACGACACAGTGTGAAAACACTTAAGTAAAAACTGACAAGAACCTGCGCTATCAATTAAGTACAATAGTAAGGAAGATATAAATGTCGCAACTTTAACTTCTTTAAAATAAAAAGTAAAAGGTCATTTTTAAGACTTCAGACGCATTGGGCATATAGGGCTAGACCTAAATTGTATAGACTTATCGGCACTTGGTGGGTGATGTGGTCAGCATCACGCTGGCCGCCTTTACTTGCCAAGACTGCGCCTAGCAACCACTCAAGGCTGGGTCGAGCTGGGATCCAATGTTTGTTTTGTTTTTTCTAATAGAAAAAACAAGCCAGAATCCATCTGGACTCGAACCTAGATCCCCCATCGGCAAGTGAGCTTCTATCATCTACACCACGACGACTCCCTAACTCAAACTTTTTATACGAGACCAAACGGTGTATTGACGAGTACCCGTCCAAGGTCAAATGTGGGCATTCAAAAGGAAAAAGGCGACCTTGGCAATCACTGAAAATAACGGCAGTTCTAACAACGATTTCCTTCCGTAATTTGTAGCTTGACGATAAAATACAGTTCTTCCGCATCTGATGACCAGCATCAGACTGGACAAGGAAAACAGGTTCATGATTGTGTGGTCCAGTACAAAGCCGATCCTGATGCCAACTGCAGTATAAAGATCAGACAATCCTCCAGGGATACATGCTGCGATCCTGGAAAAGGACCACCGTGTCCGGCCTCCTAACATTTCCTGATCAGAATCTCAACTCCGTGTGTTTGTGGCTGTTGCTTGTTTTTACTGTTGTTGTTGATTGTTGTTGTCAACATAGTTCTCATGACGTGTTAGTGACCACGGTCGCTGTCAGTGTGTATTGTGTCTATCAGCACTCACAACAAGGGAGACGTAGTGAAAGAGACAGACAGAGCGATTGACAAACTGAGGGAGTGAGAGATAGATATATCGAGCTTACTTCAGTTGTTTTAAGTACCGACATCACAGCACTATTTGGACATTCCAACAAGCACTCCGATCCCATCTTCAGCAACCAGCTCAGAGTTCCAATAACAATGGTGCCATTAAACTTCTCATTATGCGTCCTCCTTGTCTTTTCTCTGAGCGCCCAGTATCGGTCAGATCTCCTCCTCACTTTCCGCTGCATCAATCTTACCAGACTGTGGTGATCTATTGGCTCTTCCGAATCGTACACGTTCTTTCACAAGGCCCTAAGCAAGCCGGCTTGATTGAATGAATGAATTTCTACCCCACCAGGACATCACACAAGCGATAAACACCCGATGACACAAAGTGCCACCATGTGGATGAGGATCGCCGTGGAGAGGTCCCAGAAACCGCGTTCAGACAATTGGCCATATTTATGGCCTGCCTATATTGCGGCCCCTGGCAAAAGCCAGAGTGGGGCTTCAAATAACACAAAATTACGTCCTAAAAAGGATGTATGAGCATTAACATTCCGCCATGTTGTGCAGAGCCAGCCAGTTTGTGCGGCTTTTTATTTCCCTTTGTCCGGCTGTTCATTTCCAAACACACCGGCATATCCAGAGACAAGATCCAGACAGTGCTTTTCAGAGAGAGAGAGAGAGAGAGAGAGAGAGAGAGAGAGAGAGAGAGAGAGAGAGAGAGAGAGAGAGAGAGGAGATACAAACAGACAAAAATGGGAAGTGACAGTCAGCGAGATAGGCTGAGAGAAACAAACATAAACAGAGAAAGGGAAAGAACTAAGCGAAGACACCAATAGTTACAGCATTGTCTCCCCTTCTTCTTCAACTCTTGCCTTTCACAGAGTTGTTAGCACGTTGCGGTTTACAGCTAGGCTGCCATATCTGCCGTTTTAGCGCAACACGTCAAAATCAGTCGCATTTGACGACATGCTTGCCAAGTGACAGTGAGCTTATTCTTTTCACTCTCCAACAATGAGGCTCCGGAACCCAGCCGAGAAATAGCATATGTGATTTTGGGATATACTTGTTGGAAACTCGCCGGTCTTAATTATTTATGTACCACAACAAGGTTTCGCATGAGATGCCTGGGAAGAAATATCAGGGATTGAAATTCGTCAGTGGCTTACTTAAAAAGTGGTAGTAATATGACAGTACTAGTAACCACTAGATAAGTCAGATTTATTGAGTGAGTTCTGACCAAATACACAAAAATGAGAGCATGTTTAGCTAAGTCGGGGATTCGGCAAATCTCACGATTCACACTTCATGCGTTGTTTGCTGCTCAATGAGTTCAGGAAGGAATTCGTGAAGAGAAACTATATATGTAATCTTTGGATGGAGATGAAGCACCTATAGAAATGCTGGTGTGCAGTGAAAGTGATCATTTTCACATCTACTAAAGCAAGTCGCCGTCGACCTTCCTGGGTTTGATTACAACGGCGGTTGGTTTAGAAAAAAGGTCGGTCCTTGAGGGTTTTCATCATTAGTACTGGATGAAGAAAGTAACATCAGATGCAGTAATGTCGAAGCCTATTTGACGCTCCTTCAGTGGTTTGGGTACATAGTGTTACCCCTATATTTTATAGATCAATGACACTCGGTGTTTGATCACGGTCAACATCACGCCGGTCGCAGTTACTTCCCTGGACTCTACCTGGTACCTATTCAAAGCTGGATCAACCTGTGAGCCTAGAGCAGTGTTGACAAAGTCTGGCTCCGTTCGGATTTAGCCCATGACCTTTGGACACTCAAAAGAGTGTCTAGCCTCTACACCAGGGCGGCTCACAAAGCCAGCAAAGCGAAACAAGTAGTTAACAGCTAGCCGCTCTAATACAGCATAAGATTGTCTCAGTGAGCACAAAGAAACACTTCATACAAAGCATATTCATTGCCACTGCATGCTACCAATGCCACACACATGGTCATTCACAACAAATCGTAAAAGGTTATTAGTCCCCACCAGCTGTCTGAGAAGAGCTGTAGGAGTGACCCTGAGAGATACAAATCAGGAATGAGGTCATTTAAAAACAAAAACAAACAAGGACACATAATCAATTCTTAATTACATACAATTGACTTCCTAGCCACATGTACAAAAAAGTTAAGATAGGCGAATCAGCTAGGTGTACATGTGAATTGGCACCTGAGATAGTCGACCACGTCCTCCAAGACTGTTCCAAATACAACATATCAAGGCAAAACTTTTGGCCAAAAGAAAAACCAGTGAAAACCAATCTTTACGGGTCGGTGAGTCAGTTACAACAGACAGTGAAGTTTATGCTAGAGACCACACTGCAGATATAGATAATCTATTACAAGCGAACGAAAGAACAAGAAGAATTACATGCACGTTCAATAACATATAAAAACACAGTAACCCGAAGTCCAGACGGGACAGGGCTAGGGAGAGTTTGCAATGTGGAGATGGTAGGTAGTTGTTTTGCTGGAGAAAATAAATCGTCACGTTTAACACATCCTCGAAGGGGAAGCTTTAGGTTATAATTGTGACAAAGTTATGTGCGTCATATAAAATGGATTAGCATTGCACGCTACCAAGGATTGAAAAGGATTCCTCCATTGTTGAATCGATCTCTCTCTCTATATATATATATACATATATAAATCTTGGACAGAGGAAATAGAGTCTCTGAATGCCCATTTCCGAAGCGCACAAACTGGGTGTTTTCCCATAAATTATACTTCACCTCGACATCGCAAGGTCCAAGCGGATCAAGTGTGGATGAGGTGAGCTGTAGCTGTGTGATTCTCTCACCAAATCGTTTAAGTTCGACCTTATATGACAGCTAGGCTTCGATGTCTAGGTCTTTCGGCTCAACATATCCGATTCCAGAAAAACTCCTAATTCTCTCTCTATATATATACATATATAAATATATATATATATAAATATATATATATATATATATATATATATATATATATATATATATATATATATATATAGTGGCTCTGTCCTATCCGGATTTTTGAAAGTAACCTGGCTCCCAAAATTGGCGTGTTTTGTTATTTCAAAGCCCCATCCTGGTTGTAGTCGTTGGGCCCTGATATAACCTAATTATTGAACCGGGTTTCTGGGTCTTGTACTCAGGTGATTATCATCCGATTAATGTGTCGCCGGGTGTTTCCCGTTTGTTGTGCGGTAATGGTGGGTCCACCGTCAGTCACTATCCGGATTTCAGATTACTCTGTAGCTGTCTGAAGTCTCAATATAACCGTACGGTTGAAGGAGATTCCTGAAATTTGCACGAGCGGGATTCTCATCATAATAGTGATTCTTTGGGTCAGTGGGTGTTAATCGTTTAGTATACGGTCCTTGTAGGGTTCAACTCCAATCAGGCTTTGCGAACGCGCTTTGTCATTGCGAGGATGCCTGGTTAGATTCAGCTGTGGGCTATTTGACAGCAGATTACTTTGCACTGATTTCGTCAATCGGACCGAGAGGGGACCGTTTAAATCAATGGCAGACTATTGCAGAAATCGGCAAAAAGCCAAGAAATGCAAGGAGCAGCGGCTCTACAATGTCTTGTTAAGGATACGCAAACTAAGTTTATAAATTAAAACGCAGGTTTAATAGTTCTTAGTTCGCAGATTGCTTGTTGTTATTCTCCAAACAGTAGTACACACGCACTGCATTGCAGGTGACCTTGCAGTTTTTGTTTACGATAATAGAAAATATGTGTTGATTTTACGATAATAGAAAATATTTGTTAATTTAAGCAAATTTCTTGGTATGATCGGTCCGGCAATAAACAAGTCAGCATTTCCTTCTCTAGAACAGCCCGTGTATAAATTCTGAGATCTGGTTACAGTAAAACATTTCTGCTTTCTGCAAGAGGCTAACAGTAGATAGTCAACACTTAGGAAGATGAATTCTCACGTCTTCTGGCTGCTGTTACTGTTGTCTGCTTCTGTCAGCGTCATTGCCCAGGAGGCGAAGGACCCCAGACAGACTGTGGTGATAGATTTAGGAGCCAACCAGAAGCTAAGGGGACTTAACGTCAGCTCGCCATCGGGTGTCAACGTGTACACGTTTTACGGGATACCTTATGCACTTCCACCAGTAGGTAAGTGATGGCCTGTCTGTCTAGATTTAAGACTATCCATCTGTCTGGTTGCCTGTCTGTCGGAATGTATGTTCGTCTAACAGTCTTTCAATCTGCCTTCTTCTTCGTCGTCGTCATCATCATCATCATCATCATCTTCTTGTTTTTCATTTGTGTTCGCTCTTGAATTTATAGTTGGAACGTTACGTTCAGATTGACACCTAGCCTGCAATATCTGCACATCGCACCCACTATTAGTAAACAACTAATTTGTTGCTTTTACGACATGCCCATTGGGATAAGTGGGTCTATTCTTTGACATTTTCCCAGTGGGACCCCAGAACCCACAGGAGAAAATCTAACTGAGTATCGGTCTGCCTATTGAACAATCAATATGTATGTCCCTGTCTATCTCGCTACCTATCGTGAGATTACCAAAATCTCATCCTGTCGGTTTGTGCTGTTCTGATCAACGTCGGCTTACGTCCTAAATGGTTTAGCGCGAGTCTACAGTTACAGTACCAAACATGCACCACTCGTTAGTCCCCGAGCTCGTCAATCAGAGGGAGAGATGTCGCATATGTCACAACGTATATATTTGCTCTGTGTCCGTTAGGGAGAGATGTCGCACATGTCACAACGTATATATTTGCTCTGTGTCCGTTAGGGAGAGATGTCGCACATGTCACAACGTATAGATTTCCTCTGTGTCCGTTAGGGAGAGATGTCGCACATGTCACAACGTATATATTTGCTCTGTGTCCGTTAGGGAGAGATGTCGCACATGTCACAACGTATAGATTTGCTCTGTGTCCGTTAGGGAGAGATGTCGCACATGTCACAACGTATATATTTGCTCTGTGTCCGTTAGGGAGAGATGTCGCACATGTTACAACGTATAGATTTGCTCTGTGTCCGTTAGGGAGAGATGTCGCACATGTCACAACGTATAGATTTGCTCTGTGTCCGTTAGGGAGAGATGTCGCACATGTCACAACGTATAGATTTGCTCTGTGTCCGTTAGGGAGAGATGTCGCACATGTCACAACGTATAGATTTGCTCTGTGTCCGTTAGGGAGAGATGTCGCACATGTCACAAGGTATAAATTTGTTCTGTGTCCGTTAGGGAGAGATATGGCACATGTCACAACGTATATGTTTGCTTTCTATTCAAACTCCCCTTAGATAGATGGTAGCCGTTTTTAGAACCCAAACGACATGAACGCCAACCCGTCGGAATTGAGAATTAAGTTTCAGTCTTGAAGAGGATTCATCAGATAATAATATCCCAGTTCCAAACAGAAGAGTCTTAGAGGAATTATCTTTCCTAACCCCCCCCCCCCCCCCCCCCCCCACCTTTTTCCCCCGCTCAAGAACTTATGCCCAGAAAAATTGACGATAAACTATATTCTTTTGGGACACTGAAAAAACAAACGGGGGAAGGGGATTTTTCTTTAATAGGGTTAGGAGACAGGACAGAGGAAGATAAAGAGACAAGACACTGATCAGTTTGGTATGAAAGTATAAACGTTATCGTTGACATCAACAACTTAAAGTATACATGATAGAAAAGTATTAACAGACATTACTAGAAAACGTCATTTAACATTTACAATTATTTTTGATATACCGTTAGTTTTGATAATCCAATATCTTGCATATAATTTCAGGTAATCTCAGGTTTCAGCCACCGAAGCCAGCCCTCGAAAGAACGGGGATCAGAGACGCCGTCTCCAAGAGTGCTATATGTCCTCAGTTTACCACCGAAGACTTGACCTCTGTGAGGTCAGAAGACTGCCTCTATCTCAATGTTTTCACACCGGATGTGAACGCCTCACTTCCGGTTCTCGTGTGGATCCATGGGGGAGGCTACAGAGCTGGTTCAGCATATAACGATGGGGATGGTGCTACTTTTGCGCCTCAAGGAGTTGTAGCTGTGACCATCAACTACCGACTCGGAGGTCTGGGCTTTCTGTCCACCGGTGATGATGTCATGCCCGGAAATTATGGGATGTTAGACCAGGTACTTGCTCTAAAGTGGGTTCAGAAATACATTTCTGCATTTGGTGGTGATCCTGCACAAGTGACCATTGGTGGGGAAAGCGCTGGGGCTTTCAGCGTGTCCCTGCTAGTAGTTTCTCCCTTAACAAAGGGACTCTTCAAAAGAGCCATAATGGAAAGCGGTTCAGCGCTGAATCTAGGCGCAGTGGAAAGGGCCAGTTCCAAAACTAAAGTACGAGATGCTACCTTGCGATCTGCTGCACGTGTAGGATGCAACCAAACGTCTTCAGCTGAAATCTTACAATGTCTTCAAGCAGTTAAGGTTGATGTTCTGTTGAATGCTACACAAGACGCCGTTATCGATCCTAGGATCGAATCAAAGTTCGGCTTTTTGCCAGATTATCCCATAAATTTACTGAAAGCTGGAAATTACAGTAAAGTGGACACGATACAGGGAGCTAACTCTGGGGAAGGGTCGTCAGCCGTGCAGGATCCTGAAGACGATGGCGTGACGAGACTACAATTTGAAAGTGTTGTTACAAGTCAGTTGGGAAGTTTTAGCAAATCTGGTGACATTGTAAAGGAGTTTGTCGATGCATATATAGGAAACGAAACAGATCCTTTGGTGCTGAGATCAATCCTCGTTCAAGCGGTTACAGATTTGAGATTTGGAGTCAGTACCCTTACTGAAATAAACAAGTATGCCACGGCTCCAAATGCAGCAACCAAACACTTTCTCTACCAGTTCAGATACAGGATGAGTGGCACAAGGACGCCCGCCTGGCGGGGCGTTGACCACGCAGCTGAACGACGCTTTGTCTTTTACCCAGATTCCCGCTACAATTACTCTACAGCAGACGACAGGGCGGTAGGTCGTCAAGTTCAGACCATGTGGGCAAACTTCATCAAATATGGCGACCCTACTCCCACAAGCGTTCAGACATCTACAGGAGGACCTAAGCTTGTGAAGTGGGAGCCGTTCACTCCAGCCAAGCCTAAATTACTGGAGATAGACGTGGTGTCCAAGCTTGTGACTTACACAAGACTCTCCTTGATTAACTTGTTTGAGAGAATTCTAGGACTTGCAAACTCACCCTCACAAGACAACCCCATTGTTGGGTAATTTAGATAAAATTTTTCAACTGTTACATGCTCAAACAATAAATTGTGTCGGCAAAAGATAAACATTTTTTTTTTTTTTGGGTCGTTATTTTTTGAATCTGTGTAAGTGAAATAGGTTTTGTTGAGTAAGAGAAGTAGACGATGCTAACAGCGTGTTGCTTGTGCTCGAACTGATAGATGTATATAGAAATGTTTGCTTTTTTCTTCCTCTTCTTGTTCTTCTCTTCTTCTTTTTCTTCTTCTTCTTCTTCTTCTTCTTCTTCTTCTTCTTCTTCTTCTTCTTCTTCTTCTTCTTCTTCTTCTTCTTCTTCTTCTTCTTCTTCTTCTTCTTCTTCTTCTTCTTCTTCTTCTTCTTCTTCTTCTTCTTCTTCTTCTTTTTCTCCTAAATATTATCATTTTTATTACTGTTATTCGCAGTCAAGAGCTAACCTCTGGCGGAAAGTTCTGGTTGTTTGTCTACCTCTGGACTTTAAGTCTTACTCCAGAACTTGAGTGTTGCGTGCACATCTATATTACACATCTTATTTATCTGTATTTGTTTCCTTAAAAGCAGTATGTGTTTAGGTATATCTCGAAGCTGGTGGTAGGGGACCTAGCTGTTATTGTTTTTAAGCTGTCTACCAAAGTGTATTAATATATCTCTTAAAGTTGAGGAAAAGACAAAAACACACACCAAAAGACCAGTCACACTCCTTTCATTTTTGCAGAGTTTTACGACAATTTTAAAAGATAATAACAGCACTTACTCGGCTTGAATGAGCAAGTATCCTCCAGGTAAGTATGGCAATCCTTCCAGGTGGGCCTGCTTCTCATCCCTAGTAAATCTACTCCGCGTCTTAGCTACTTTGGCAACACGTGATGCATCTTTGGCTTGTATTTTTTATACAGCTCATATCCTTGTCTAGAAAACATTCTATAGCAAACTGTTCAACACTGAGCTCCAGTGCCTTCACCATATCCAAGAATGTCGTAGCACCATCACTGAATGCACTCACTGCTATTGAAAAAGCAGTAGTTTCAACCAATAGTTGTAGCAACTCTAGTAACTTATGAGTGTCCTGGAGTCATCAGATCCCATCTGATGCCACATCAGTGTAACGGATGTCACCCAGCTGTTCATTATTTTCTAAACATTCAACTAAAGAAAATTCATTCATGCATTTCTCATAGCTGTACTCTGCTGTTACTGCAGCTTCTATTGTCTCAATGATAAGACTATATGTACTTTTGCTAACTGGTGGTGGTAAATCCATAAGTCCGCCAAACGTCTGCGATTCAGATCTGTCAATGCCAACAGTTCGCATTACAAAACTAGCACTCCGATTTATACTACTGACTGTCACAATGTCTCATCATCATCATAAAGCAGGTCCTTTGCAGAACGTCGCTCTCATCACAGTCTGCCTGTAAGAAACTCGGTCTCTTGCCAGTTCTCCCGCCTCATGAACTTTCGCACTCAAGGAGTCACTTATATCATGTGCCCATCTTCGCGTCGGTCGACCCCTGCCCCTCCTTCCTTGTACCATGCCTTCTGCTATAATTTTTTCCAATTCGTCGTGGCGCTTGATATGACCAAAATATTTCAGCTTCCGAGACAGGATGCTGTTTATTAGCCATTCTTCCTTGATGTTCAGATCTTTTAAGATGTCAATATTTCTCTTCGTTGTCACAATGTCTACTTTTATTTATTCAGATTTAGGGAAAGTGTTCTGTCCAAAACATCTTTACTTTTATTGGGGCAGTAAAATACAAGCTTACTTCCTTACTCTTGCCTCTGAATTTCAACTAATCTGAGGCTATGATGACAACTTGCACACATTGATTGTGATGAAACATTGTGACACAAAATGTCCACATAAATTCTTCTTCTTCACTTCCTCCTTTACCGCTGTGGTAGTCGAGGGAGATATAAGGTTCTGTTTCTGGCTCTTCTGGCCGCCTCGACCATAGGCACATCGTACTGTTGTAGAGCTTCTCTGATGTTATCCTTCCATTTTGTTCTTGGTCTACCTCTTGCTCTTCGTCCTTCTTCTCTTTCCATGTATGCTTTGTATGGTATGGTGTCACAAGGCTTTCTCTCTAAGTGGGCAAACCATTTCGCTTGCTGTCTTTGTATGTAATCCAGAATTGGTTCTGTGAGGACTTGTTCTCTTATGATCTCATTCCCGATCTTATCTATTATGGTCACTCCTACAGCCCTTCTCAGACATCTCATTTTCGTGGTTACTAATTTTCTTTTATGGTTTGTTGTGAGTGACCATGTCTGGCACTGGTAGCACAGAGTTAGAATAAATATGCTTTGAATAAGATGTCTCTTTGTGCTGATTGGGATTGTCTTATGCTGTAAGAGGGGGGAGGGGGGAGGGGGGGGGGGGGGCTAGCTGTCCCAATACTTGGTTTGCTTTACTGCATCTAATGTTAATTTCTTTATCCAATTTCCCATCTTCGGTAAATGTAGTTCCCAGTTATTTAAACTCAGATGCCTGTTTAATGCCTTTGTTCTCTATTGATATGTTTAGATCTGTCTTCTTTTTTCCTATTGACATTACTTCTGTCTTTTCAGTGTTGATTCTCATATTATTTGTTTTACATTCTTCATTCATGGATGTTAGATGTTGTGGCAATTTCATGGCTGTATCTGCTATCAAGGCCTGGTCATCTGCAAAGAGTAATTTGTTGATCTTACTAACATTTTCATTCATGGGCTTGGCATTCTTGCATATACTGTCGATGTAGGTGATAAATAGCAGTGGTGATAAGACACACCCCTGTCTTACTCCAGATGTCACTGTGAAGGGATGAGATGTTTCCTGATTTATTCTAACTACACTTCTACAATCCCTGTATAAACTTTTGCACACTTCGATGAGGTGTTCGCTTACTCCATATCTTGCCATTACTTTCCATAATAATTGTCTGTCGACTCTGTCAAATGCCTTCTCCTGGTCTACGAACGCCACAAATAAGTTCTTATTGTATTCAATGTTCTTTTCTATTACTGTTTAAGTGTGAAGATTGCGTTTGTGCAGCTTCTGTCCATATAAAAAATAATAATTATGTTGCCACTGGGAGCAATTTTAGCTAAATCAATTCTTACACTCTCACTGTCACAACTAAAGTCATCAGAACGCTCTTGTTTATCCATTAGATCTTCATTGATAATGTTGTCCATAAACAGCTTCTCTTCTGAGGTAGTGGCCGTGGTATTTAGATATTCTGAAATTATTAAAACCTTATTATCTTTATCAGAAAATGGGCACGTGTTACTGCTTTGAGCGTAAAACTGAAACAGTAAACAAAACAGACACGAAGTTCGACTGAAAGTCTACCAGTCAAAGTCGCTTTAAAGCAGAATTTAACGTTCTTCTTCCTCTTCTTCTTTGCGTTCGGTTTCGTATGCTCAGATCAGACCATCAGTTGGGTTGCCTCTGTGAACTCGCATATCACCAGCAGGTCCTTCATGGTTCCTCATAGCTTGCCCTGCACATTTTGCTGTATATTTCGGCTGTAGGTCTATACTGTATGCCCGGATCATTTGAAACGTTGAAGGATCTTTAGAAAGGATGTGACTATTTTTTGCGTAGTACAATTTTGATGGATGGTAAAAGCTATGTCTTTTCAGTCGGATTTTAGTTAAGTAAACTGATTTCTACTGCTTTGCGACTCTACACGTCTGTTCTGGAAATGTAGCCTAATTCAGAACTAAAGTTGCGTATCCTTTACAGGACGTTGTAGAAGCAACCCTAGCATTTATTTTGCTTTTGTGTCTTTTCTAGGCAAATATACGTCCACAAGTTTGTCATTGCTTCCTGGACGGTCGGCTTCCTGATACCACTGTCAAAACCAGCGCAAGGGCCGCAGTTGGAATCGAACCCTACACTACGGCATTACGAAGCGCGTTCGCAACGCCTACACCACAGACGCCGACTCCGAACTAAATATTCATCAAATATCACAAAATTTAAAGCTAAACACAAACAAATCTTCCTGTAAACACAGAAGGAAACAAAATGTCGACGGAAGTCAGGGAGTAATCGTGATTTATAAGACTCCTAAAAACAGGGAGTAGTGCATTGTTTTGGATTGAAAAGTACAAGGATTTTCTGTCAAATGGTGACGTTGAGCAACCCACACACCCCCATATATAATCAGAATATCTCATGTTCTGTTGTTCAGATTTTTAAAGTTTCACTGCATATGAAAATAGAAATGTTCCCCCACAAGGTTATAGAACATTTTAAACAAAAATGTGATATTTTTCAAGTTTCTGGTTAGCACTGTTCCCTTAAGATAGAAGAGGAACTTTCACAAACGTCGTTCTGGCTGACCCTGTTTTCTTAATCGGTTCTCGCAAAGTACAGCCAGAGGAATTGACTCCTTGTTTGTATGATGAATGGATAAAGCTTGAACTGCTACATTCAAGGCTATGAGTAAAACATAAGAATGTATATAAGGAAAAAGTATATGTGTACATTTTCTTTTTCAATTATTTGTTTCTTTTTACACGATATTTAGAAAAATCATTGAGGTATTTATTTGTCAAGAACAACCTCACTAATTTTAGCCTACAGTACAACATCTTCCTGTCTTTCTGTACAATAGGGTTCTACGGTGACATACAAAAATAATGGAAATCACAGTTAGCGTGTGCTAATTTACTTATTTAACGTCTTGCAATATTACCACACATAAAATGTAACAATGGAACTATAAATGTAGGTCTGCGGTGTTTTTAATGGCGGCATTTTCAAGGCCAGCACGAAAACGTTATCTAACTGTGTCGTGAGTCTACTTCATCACAAACATGATCTATAAGAAACTGCACGACATTGCGCAACATTCGTGTTGTGTGGTCTGGAAGTAATTATCTTGTATTTACGCTATTCGTTACAATGCGGACTGGTGTGTATACCTGGTTTGTGCTCCTCTGTGGGATTGTACAAAGTAGCCGCAGTCAAACCACACACGGGAACATTCTCGTGTCTCTGGGACCAGGGCAACAGCTGAAGGGACTCAACACCACCGCGGCTTCTGGCCAGCGAGTGTATTCGTTCCTTGGAATACCGTATGCGCTTCCTCCTACAGGTTAGTTCGCAATATCAGTTATCATCATCATTATCAATTTCCTGTTCTGTGGTTAAACGCTGTGAGTAGGAACAGTTTGGAATCCAATGGCTGGCAGGAATGGCTATTGTCATTCCGTGTCTAAGTAGAAGCTCTTTAATGTCATCAATCCATCTTTTCCTAGGGCGACTTCTTGGTTTCACATCATATAGGTGCATGTGTTGCTTCTGCGTTGGTAGTTGCTCTGGCTGCATTCTTACTAGATGACAAAACCATTTGATCTTCTGTTTCTCAATGAATTTGCCATATGGTGTTGTTTCCACAGTCTGACTGACACATTTGTAACTTTGTCACGGATGGTTAAGTTGGTGGGTCTTCTCGGGCATCGCATTTCACAGGTGTTAGTTTTACATAGGTTTGCCTTTGATAATATCAGTCTGGCACTGGTAGCACTGTGTTGGTATGAATATGCAACATCTAGCTCATTATACATAAGTTCACCACCAATAAGTGCAAAACCGACCAGTCTGTCTGTCTGCTCGTTTCTTCACACACAAACATAACCTGGAGAAAATAATCAAAGGACGCTAACTACCCGGAACCTCTGAAGCAATGCTTGCCACTCTGCACGGAGCATGTCTGTCTCTACCTTTCACAACATACTCTGTGAATCGGTTACAATCACGGCATGTGATGTTGTGATATCATATGCGAGGTTTTGCTGTACTAAGAAACCCCATGTCCTTCTGCCTCTCAAGGCAGAGCCACCCGTACAGATAATCACATCACCTTGGCGGGAATTGTCGTGAATCATTTGCTGAACTTCTGATTCTGCAGCGCCAGCTGGCTAGTCCCTGCACTCACGGCCTAACATGATTCTAAATCTTGCTGGGACACGTTGACCCACTCCTCTTCTCGCCCAAATTTATCAAGCCTGCACACATGTTTGATTGAGTCTATAGCTTGCGCCATCCAAGACCTTCGTCTTTTCAGTCTGTGACCCTTAGCTCTACCCCCCAGGGTTTCATGCAGGAGGTGCTTCTTGTCTGCAGCTACTCTGAGATATGACTTTACTTGCAATACTTTGAGACTATCTGCAATAGTAGGTAGTGCAAGCAAATATCACTTACATACTACCGGGGTATCTCTTGTACATACCAGAATACCCACATGGCTTCACTCTGTATGCGTTAGAGATGCATCAGCTTACTGTTTGATATGGTAAGCATTCTAAGTCTATAATCTATCACCGACAGGATCATATGCTGGAACATTTTTAATAGCATTCTTTACTCCATGTCCATAGCTGCTATAATCTTGAGAGCATTGAGTCCTTTTTTTTTTTTTTTGACATTTCACCGCAACTGCCTCCACAGGATCCATGAAGGACAGGCTAAATCGAAAATAATACTCAGGTACCTCAGTTTGCTTTCTCTTTTGAAAAACCTCAGGATACCTACTCAGCCATACAGGAACCCCTACCTTCAGCACAGAAATGGTAACTACAGACAGTAGTGGCCGTGTTTGGAAGAAAGGGGGGGGGGGGGCAATTCAATGGTTGCGCTGTCAAAAAGGTTGGAACCCTATTGTGTTATATTTTTGAAGACAACAGACACTGTACATTAGCCAACCTTC